CTGATCTAAGCCTAGCTGGGATTACCAAATTTAGATTATATGAAACTCTCACAAACGAAAAGTATTCTGGTCATACTACTAAAATGATGAGATCGAGGTCCATCAACTTCTGTCGCTCGTTCCGTGTTTCGGTGGCAGTGAATCTGATTCCAGTGTCAAAGTAAAGACAACAAATTAGAACATGTTCTGAGTTTCATCTGTCAGGCTGCCATTAGAAAACCTCCCACTCGTCCAAAGGAACAAATACAGATCTGTTTCACACACTCCTTGCCTTACGATCAGCTTTTTTTCCTTTTACGCAGTTGTTTCTCTGCTATCGGGCGTCAAGGAGGAAAACAGAGAATCTCTGTTGGCGAGGGCTGTGAATACAAAGGAACCGTTATGCATGAGATGATGCATGCTCTTGGCTTCTTTCACGAGCAATCACGCACTGATAGAGATGATTACGTCATGGTCTTATGGTGGAACGTTGAACCAGGTACTATGCGTGAAGGCCAAGTCAAAATTCATGAGGAATAACATGACCAACGACTGAAAAATTAATAACCAAAACAGTCAAGCAGGCTATCTTTAAAGCCTTCCAACTTGCCTCATTTCTTTTTCTTCAGAAAATAACCAGAGAAGGGTCACCCAATGTAAGGTGATCCGAGATATTCTTGGATTCTGGATTCCACACTGTGGATTCATATTCCAGGTACTGGATTCTGGGCCTTGTCGGTGGATTTTGTGGATTTCGGATTCCAGTCGTAGCTAATCGTTAGCGGGATCCGGGATTCCATAAGCTGTATTCCGGATTCCAAAGCCCAGGATTCCGGATTCCACAAACAATGATTTCCTAGATTAAGAATCAGGATTACCTTACACTGGGCGGGAAGGGGTTCTTGAGACCGATCTTGCAAACTTCCACCTCTAGTCTTTCAATAGCCGGACAGCTTTAACGTGATGTTAAACGAGACGATTCGCAACGTCGATTTTTACCGCAACACAGCGTTGCAACATTGTTACGACACCGTTTCGAATGGTTACAACATTGCTCCAACATTGCAACCCTGTGTTGCGCTAAAACTCGTCCTTGCGAATCGTCCTGTGTAACATCACCTTTAGATTCTGAGACGAGGACGACTACGAGAACCAGATTTTCTCAATACTGAGTAATGCTCACGCGTGAAGCAGCGTTATGTTGGCGGAAACATTTGATAGCCGTCGTCATTCTACTACGAGTTTTAGCGAGAATGTCAGTGGCGGGAACCAGTTATTGATGCAAGAAGTTTTATCATTTTGCTATCAGGAGAGGGCTTAACCTCCTTCAGTATAAATAACAACTTTTTGGCGAAAAAAAGGAAAATGAAGCTTTCCAGCGGGGTTTCTTTTTTTGAGAACATGCGCAAAAACTTTAAGTTGTATCTCGTACTCGTACTCGTCCTCAAATCTAAAGCGCTCTAATACCATGCATAGACTGGAAACCTTAAACATTGAAGGAGTGATATAACTCAACCACATCACTGACACACCTCGCGATTAAGTTCACTTAACATGAGTTAATAGAGTTGGTATTATGAAACTGACCTCTTTCTTTGTACTCTATTTTACAGGATTTGAAAAGAATTTTGACAGTTACGGCCCAGATCGAGTAGACAGCGCGGAAGAACCATATGACTTTGACAGCCTGATGCATTATGACAATCAAGCATTTAGCAAAAACGGAGAAAATACACTACAAGCAATATCAGATCCCGACAGACATCTTGGTAATAAGGATGATTTTAGCGCTATCGACATTAAGCAGTTGTTAAAACATTATCCTTGTAAAGCTTGGGACAGGAAACCTGTTGATAATGGCGGCCAAAGGAAAGCGGAAGAAAGTAAGTGTACTGGGACGCCACTGCAATTAAAACCCTCCCCGGAGACTGCACACCTTTAAGCCTATTTCATATCTTTCAGTGTACTAACTGTGCTGGCTTCATTCAGAGTCAGTCGTAATCTTATAAGGTTTTCGCCTCTCTTTTTCTAAAGTTTTCACTCTTCGACTGAAAAAGTATGTTGGTTGGTCGCCAAAAAATTGAGTCAACCTGAAATATTTGTCGGATAGTTAGACGTCGCGGTTTTTCATAAGCTTTCTTTGATCCACTTAGAAGTATCTGCAGGGGGAGATGATACAGACCGAAGAGACTGTACTCAGAAGGATCTATACTCCTGAAAGTCTTGCTACTCTCCGCTCTCTATATGCTGTTTAAAAGGCACTTGATACCGATGCGGAATTTCTCTTCCCCGACTGCAAAAGAAACAGGGCTTTAACCAAAAACTCCCGCGAGTTACTACAGTCTGTGCAAACACCAAAAGGACTGCTGACTGCTTCGAATTCACCGCAAAAGTGGCCCTATTTTATTTTGTAAAACAAATAGTAAAAAAATAGTTAAAAAACAAATTTGACCTCCTGAAAGTCAGTACTGCTAAAAAGGTTTCATTTGAATGGCCACACAGTAGGATTTTATCCACAGACTCGAAATGTCGTCACTGAAAAACAACCTACATCTTAACTGACATACTTTACTTAATGTTCCAGCAAAATGTCAAGATTTCTTCAAGAATGAATGCAAACATTTCGCGTCCCATGAAGGATACTGTGACTATTGGAAAAAATACATGACGAAGTGGTGTCCACTCTCTTGTGGATTTTGTAAACATGAGGCTCCTGCAGGTAAAAAAAAAACTGTTCCGGTGAAAATTTGGCAATAGACCTTTTCACTCTTTTTTCAACTTTTTATGGACAGAGCGGGCTAGGCGTTCTCAGCGAGTATCTCTCGGTGACGTCACAGCTTATGGTAGAGTCCAGGAATGACCGCGCCGAAAACGCCTGGGGACTAGGCTGGGAAGAGCGCCTTAATATTAATAAGATCGCCAAGTTTGAAAGTGATACGTCTTACGCGAGCGCCGATATAGCTCCGCAAAGTTGCCAAAATGTACAGACGTTTGTATAGACTGCAAAACAGTCGGTTTTTTTCTGAAAATAAGTGAAGAAATCGGTAAAGCGTGGCGTAAAAGTCTTACGCCCGCGAAGCGCGCGAGCCTCACACGCCCTGCGTGAGAAGAAATATTTTTAGCGTCTCTCCCCAGTCTCGCTCTCTGTTTTCAGCCTCGTTCGAGACCTTTTGTTTGACTGCTCGCGCGTACTTGAATACGCAAAAATACGGACTGTTTTGCAGCAACACATGAACGTCTGTAAAATATGGCGACTTTGAGAATCTGTATCTTTATTCACCCTTGCAACAAATCACTTTTAAACTTAGTAATTTTACTAATTTTAAGGCGCTCTTTTAAGTGGTGTCGACAGATTTACCCGAACTTTTCCATGTCAAAAGTTGAAAAGAAAAAAAGCGAAAAGGTCTATTAGTTTTTAGTAAAATCCAACTAGTGGTCTATTATCAATGCTGCGTTCTGATTGGTTAATGAGCTACTACTAGGCTATATGTTATAGCCCACTCGTAGCGAAAAGCGCGCGCTTTTTTGGCGGCAACAAAGGATTAAAGTCTAGCTTTAACTTGCTAAAATTTTTTTATTCTCGATATTTTTGACCACCTTGTTGGATTTTACTGAAAAAATAATATTCCTCTCGCCCTCATGGCCTCTGAGTCAATAGCCTATTCGGCCGGGCTCAACGAATAATTCTTAAAAGCATGTACTACTCTATAGTGGAACACATCAACTGTACGACAAATGTTTAGATCTATTTACCAATTAATAATAAGAATAATGGTAAGAATAATAGTTAATAACCATTTAGTTTAGTGAGACGTTAAGCTTTACTATTTAGCAACTTGACTACTGAAAGAGTGGTTCTGAAACGCAAAACACAGAAGCTGAAAAGGTTTATTTTTTTCCGCAGGCTATTAGTTAGACTCAGTAGTCGTGGCTGTCTCATGCGCCCACGATTCTCTACACCTCAGATTGAAAGAATCACCGGCTGGGGCCCGAGCATGAAGCTAATAACTGACTGCTTATTGTGGGATTATTTACAATCATATTATTTCCACCCGAAAATATCCTTGTTGTTAATCTTTTTTTTTTTTTCGTTTACAGACAGAAGACTTAATATATGGAAAGGAGAAAATTACACACAATGACAGATGAAGGACTATTAGATAAAATTATTTATAAGGGAAACATTTTGCTGATCAAGCTTTGCAGTCACATTATAGCTTAGCAAGAAATTAGCAGCAGTTTTGTGTTGAGCCCTGAATACTATTTGTTTTTTATGATTATTTATGGGAGATTACTACCACTACTATTGCTTTAGAGATTGCAGTTTTAAATATGTCAACTATACTCAGTTTTTTACACTGTAAATATGTTTCTAAAAGTATAGATCTGATCACTAAAAAAAGCCCCATTTATATCGATTTTATTATTTAAAAGTGAGTCTACTTTGAACAATATTGGCTCGCACCCGGTCTAATTAGTCCACATTTGGACAAAATGCCCTTTTTGAGTTGCAATGGTCAATAGAAAATATAACAAAGACATGTTTCAATAAATGTTACAAATCACATTACAATGACTGTAAATCTAACACTAACAGCATCCCACTAGAATTCTTGGTATTCTTTTGCCCATTTTGCCCTTTCGTAGGCAACAGGTCTGTTGCATTTGTGATTAAATGACAGTGACAGATCTGGGAGAAGGCAGCTTCCCCTTATTTAAAGGCCAAACTAAGCCCACAGGGCAAAGAAAAAGTATTTTTAAGGCTTCCCCCCCTGCCCGTCTTATCTTAAGGACTGGTTCAGCAGCCCCGCCCCCCACTTACTTAAAGACCAGGGATCAATTACGTTTTCTGGCAAACCGCCCACCTACCCGTCCCTTAAGCCATCAATAACACTTAATTCTCATTTAGTGTAAAATGTTGGCTTAGGGGAGGGGTAGGTTTGCAGTTTCCCAGAAACCGAAAATTGATCCAAGATCAGAATCCACCACCAATTAAATAAAGCTTTTAACAAGATTCCAAGCTACTGTATATACAATGATGCATCAAAAGGAAGGACACCCATGCAATTCAGTGAACCACAGAAGCAGCTCTTTGGTTCCTTTCCAAGCTCTTTTAAACTATCTTGCCATTTGCATTCCCCTCTTTGTTCCCTTGCTGACAGAACACTGAATTCTCCTGAATAATCAAATGACAGCTCTTCCCCAACATCAATGTCCCTGGCAGCAAAGAGAGCCAGTCTGGGCACAATAGAATCCACTCTGACCGGCACCATGACAAGATTAGGGTTACAGGAGTGATTTATGAATCTTGATGCATTACCATGAAAACGGGCATCTACATGTGTTCTTAAGATGTGGTTTTCAGAAGAATGTTCTCTAAGAACTATAAGGTAGTTTCCTGTCTCATGTGTTAATTTCTGTGCACGTTTTTCGGCATCTTGCACTGAAATAAGTTCTCCAGCATATTCACACACAAAAGTGAATTTTCTTATGGTCTGCTGAGTTTTTAAGCCCCATCCTTTATGTTTTGTCTTGAAAACTTGGAGTTTTAACTGCAATCCTTTCTGAACCACTCTGTTCGGACAAGTCTCTGGGCAAACACAGCAACTGTTGCATTCAAACACTGGTTGACAGTAATCTAGAAAAAACAAACAGCATATATTATAATATATACTACTTTATTATTAACCTCATCTGTGTGGTCATCACAGTGAAATCTCAGACCGAGACCTTGATGGATTGACCAAGTGACAGAGGGGTCAATACATCATGGCTGAGGTCTGAGATTTCCCTGTAATGAACGAATGGACGAGGATAATAAGTTATTTAGTATATGGCCTTTTCATTATGGACCTGAACCTATGATCAATAATAANTGCACTGAAATAAGTTCTCCAGCATATTCACACACAAAAGTGAATTTTCTTATGGTCTGCTGAGTTTTTAAGCCCCATCCTTTATGTTTTGTCTTGAAAACTTGGAGTTTTAACTGCAATCCTTTCTGAACCACTCTGTTCGGACAAGTCTCTGGGCAAACACAGCAACTGTTGCATTCAAACACTGGTTGACAGTAATCTAGAAAAAACAAACAGCATATATTATAATATATACTACTTTATTATTAACCTCATCTGTGTGGTCATCACAGTGAAATCTCAGACCGAGACCTTGATGGATTGACCAAGTGACAGAGGGGTCAATACATCATGGCTGAGGTCTGAGATTTCCCTGTAATGAACGAATGGACGAGGATAATAAGTTATTTAGTATATGGCCTTTTCATTATGGACCTGAACCTATGATCAATAATAAAATCAACAACTGGTCAGCGGATAACTTTAAAAAGAACACGTTACCTCAAAGAGTTTTACACTAGAGCCCACGATAAAGCCAGGTGACACTGGTTAGCAGATACCCTTTTTGACAGCTGTCAATCGACCATAACATTTAAGTCCATATGGATGTCCAATATCGAGTTAAACACAGATTGCATATGTCTTCGACACATGCTTGCTCATTACAAGAAAATAATACCCAGTCATTACAAGAAAACTGCCAATCAGAGCACGCGTACTAATTGTAGCTATATAATAAAACAGGTTGATACAGTCCACTCTTTTCTTATGGAAACCTCTTAAAGACAGCATACAGTTCCCCAAAGTGCCCGGACACCATGACGACAATTGCTCAAAAAGGACACCTAGACATTGGTCCCTGCAGTTCTTATTAAACTCACTTTCTTTAACTCTCCTTATTGAGACAGACAACTGTCTATGATTAGTGAGCGAGCAAGCTTTCTGGGACACTCTCGCAGTGGGGCAGGAAAAAAGAAGGAGAGCTTGCAACTACGTTTCTGAAATTTGAATATCTGCATCGAAAAAGTCAATGCCAATTGCTGATCGGAGAAGATGACATTAGTAATGATCTCATTACCCTTGGCACGTGTTTTTTAATGTTTGTTTACATATGCACTCGTTTCCACTTCACACTGATTGGTAGAAATCTGACAGCTCAGTTGACGGGTATCCACAGGCGAACTGGAGGTGGAATTCAAATTCCAGAGATGTAGTTGCAAGCTCTCCTTCTTTTTCCCTCTTCACCTCCAGAGCATCCCGGAGAGCTTGCTCGCAAACTAGTCTATGATGAACGCTTAGGGTATGTTCCTTTAAGATGATCCAGATCAGGATAGTTGGTCACTTGGATCATTGTACATCAATTGAACTGATCTAAATCTAAATCTAAATATTGTTATGTCGGCAAAATCGTTTGGGACATCATGCCAACTCTAAGATAATAATAAATAAAACTATACTAAAATATACAAAACTGTTAAAAACTATTAAAAACTACTGATAAAAATAAAGCTAAATTAGTTTCTACATAACAAAACAGCAGAAAATTAAGAAATTTCGAGAGCATTGAGGGAATATTTTCAAAGCAGGGACAATTTCTCGGTTTCTGCAATTTACGCCATGGTCGGTTCAAATTCTGATTGCTGCACATATGGATAGCAATCGAAATCAATAGCAAAGAGCACCATACATATAACATCAACATGAAATATCAGAAAACAGTCTCACTCAACCAAGTTGTTATGACGATTTATCGAAACCGTCAGGGGTCTTCTAAGGCCCCGTTCAGACGACGAACTTTTGAAGAGCAGAACCTAATACAGTGAAACCCGTATTAAGCGGACGCCCTCGGGGAATACTGTAGTGTCAACTTAATACAGGGTGTTTGCCTAATACAGGTTTCAATAGATAATGTCATATGAGGTGTCAAATGCCATTCAAATGAACAGTGGAAACGTTTAGAATACTCCCAGAGACTATGACAATAAACGTTTGCATGAATTTCTTTATCAAAGTGGACCAATTGATCATAGTACCTTGAACATAGATTGCAACTCAAATTTGGAGAAATCAGACGAGTGAATAAAGCTCTATACAAACAAAACGAAATAGAAAACAATACTGTACTGGGAACCTAATCAAACAGGTTCGTCAAGTCACGTGTTTTAATGTAAAAATCGAAAAATTTGTGGGTGGCAATTCGAGGCAATCTTTTGCATTTCCGGTGTCTAAATCTAAATCTAAATATCGTTATGTCGGCAAAATCGTTTGGGACATCACGCCAACTCCAAGATAATAATAAATAAAACTATACTAGAATATACAAAACTATTAAAAACTATCAAAAAACTATTAAAAACTATTAAAAACTACTGATAAAAATAAAACTAAATTAGTTTGCTTTTAAAAATACAGAGGGATTGGCTGGAAACAGTTTCTTCTGGAAGTTTGTTCCATTCAGTTATTGTCCTTTCGGTACAATAAATTTAAAATCATGGCTTCCCCGGGTTCTCCTTTCTTTGCTTGTTATCAAATAATCCCCCCAATCCCCATCTAGGAGGCCGTGGCACATCTTGTATATAGTGGAGAGCCTTGCGTGTCTTCTCATTGTTTCAAGTGTGTCCCACTGTAGGTCTTGCAGCATTTCCGTCACGCTCGTTGTTCAATCGTAATTTCCAGTGACAAAGCGGGCTGCTTTCCGCTGTACCCTTTCTAGAGCGGCTTTATCTTTCTGGTAATGTGGGTCCCATGCGCTACAGGCATACTGGAGTTTTGGCCTCACAAGTGTCATATACACGGTTTCTTTCACTGACTTTGGACAATTCCACAGGTTTCGCTTGATAAGTCCCAAGACCTTATTTGCTCTAGATGTGATTGTTTCAATGTGTGGTGACCACCTCATTTTGTTATCGAGGACTACCCCCAGATAAGGGTGAGATTCCACTTCCTCTAGGATTTGTCCACAGAATATGTATTCCCGCTTTGGTGGATCTCTCCTGGTTGTAAAACACATGATCTTGCACTTTGAAGGATTAAATTCCATCTTCCACTTTTGTTGCCAATCTTCTAATCTATACAAGTCCTCTTGGAGATCGGCTGTGTCTTCATCACAACAAATTGTTAATTAATCCTTTACCAGTCCTTTACCAGGTTGTATTCATTGGTTCCTCTTATGCACTATGTTTTGAGGGATCCTAGATCACTGATCTTGATCTGGATCATCCCAATCGAATGCAGCTTAACACAGTGCCAGGCACAAAATTGTCCAGAGAGAAAGAAAGAGAGACTTAAAGGAAAAAAGATGCCAACTAGAGGTTCAGTTGTGGACTACTTTTTCAAATGCAATCAAGTTAGCCCTGTGAAAACTCACCATTCAGCTGCTGATTATAAATAAGAAGGCATCCACTATTGTCATAACATGGTCCATAGGCTTGCATGCAAGAGCAAACGTCTGCCATACATGTGGATTGATGACATTCACAGCCAGGGTAGAATGGAGAGTTGAATGAATCCCTTACATTGGGCCCACCAATGCAAACTAATGTGTACTGTATAGTAAAAGCCACATGAATTTAGTAAAACTGTGCATACCTCTGAAAAAATCCTGGCTACGCCTCGAAGGGTGTTTCTACAGTTGGAAACTCCCCATTAATCCGATGGTCCTATAATTTTCCCCTGAAGAAATTTCCCATGCCTGAACCAGGCGGGGAATGGAAAATCCCAGGGAGATGTGTTTTGGACTGGACACATGGGATATTACCCGGCAAATACAGGTGGGCGCACTCGCAAGTAAAGGATGAGTATTGAGCTTATTCTAAATCCATCCTCTGAAAGTAAGTAAAAATTAATATTTCAGTTGAAATTAAGGCCACAATATTTTGGGGGTTTAAAAATGAACATTTCTAACACGGCGTCGTTGTTTACTCAATATCCTTTATCACATTACCCCAAATGCTGAAGGTTTTTCATCGTCGAGTTCATTCACCACTGGAACTTTCACCCTTTCCTTGCCCTGCGATACATCGTTATTGATCATCGGATGCAAGCTCTCTATACCCTCACTTGTCAGTTTGCTGTGAACTTTATCGTGGACGTAGCAATAGGTACTTCATATAAGGCACCATATATGGTATATTTGAAACGAAATGCCGCTGACAATGAGCCGTTGTTACCGTTGTTATAGAAACTGCGCAATACTGTTCAAAATGGCGAACAGGGAGAGCGATGCTCAAGAATATCTAAAGAAACACAAGATAATGGAATTATTTGAGAACTTAACAGCGCAATTGATCTACGAAAGACCAGGTAAGAAATTCAAAAAGCGATGCCTCGTTGTGGTGAGAGCCTTTTATTGTTGTTCATCACAGCAGTTGATTGGAAAGAGCTGTTAACGTTTTGGATCAGTTTTGATTGACAGCTAGTTCATTTTGTTCTTGCACTTCCCTTCATAGAGGATCCAAAAGCGTACATGAAACAATTTTTGGAAAAACTAAAAGATGCGAGAACAGTGCAAAGAAACTACCCGTGCATATTCGACGACAGCAATGTTAGGTCATTGTTTGGAATGCTTGATGTCACAGGAAAAGGATTCATAACCTATGAACAGTACAAACAAGGTGATGTGACTAATGTGTACAGGGCCCTTTACAGCGCTACCTCNAGATAATGGAATTATTTGAGAACTTAACAGCGCAATTGATCTACGAAAGACCAGGTAAGAAATTCAAAAAGCGATGCCTCGTTGTGGTGAGAGCCTTTTATTGTTGTTCATCACAGCAGTTGATTGGAAAGAGCTGTTAACGTTTTGGATCAGTTTTGATTGACAGCTAGTTCATTTTGTTCTTGCACTTCCCTTCATAGAGGATCCAAAAGCGTACATGAAACAATTTTTGGAAAAACTAAAAGATGCGAGAACAGTGCAAAGAAACTACCCGTGCATATTCGACGACAGCAATGTTAGGTCATTGTTTGGAATGCTTGATGTCACAGGAAAAGGATTCATAACCTATGAACAGTACAAACAAGGTGATGTGACTAATGTGTACAGGGCCCTTTACAGCGCTACCTCTCAAACATTTAACCATCAGTTGAGTTTTTTGCTTCAATATATTTTTTTTTTGAGTTTTTTCCATCAATCATCATAATGGAATATTCAGCAAACAAAGGTTTTCATCAATGGACTCGAAAGGTCAAATCTGTGGACTGTATACTTACTTGTCTGGGGGGTGAATTGTCTGACATTTCTTTGATAATGTTATAAAACAATTAGTTCATGCGTCAGCGTGCGTATGTCGAGATATTGAGCATGCTGGAAGTTTGGAGAGCACGAAAGAGGCGACTCTTGATTGCTCTCCAAATCTTCCCAAGTGCTCAATATCTCAACATACGGACAGCTGAAGCATGAACTAATATTATTGTTTTATAACATTATCAAAGGAATGTCAGACAATTCATGCCCCAGACAATTTTACCTCCAACAACTAGCCTCTAGTATAGTGGTATCACCTGAGTTAAATATCTTCAAATCACTCATTTAATAAATGAACTGTCTTCAACCCCTTTCTAAATGTCTAGTTGTGTGAGTTACTCCCGCCCCTTGAAATTCTAAATAAGTTCGCAATTCGAGTCCACTTAATACATGCGGGGACATGTAGTCCGAGAGACACCAGTCCCATGAAAAACAAATTATTATATATGTAACTAAAGCTAATTTATTGTTTATTATTCTAATGTTAAACTTAATCTACAAAGTGGAACGTAAGTCCATAATGTGGGGGCTTATAGTTGTCGGGGGCTAATTGTCTGGGGGGTGAATTGTCTGGATACCTATCATTGCAGCAGCTACCTTAAATTTTCATTATTATAGCGTGTACTCAAAGCAGCACATGTCAGTGTCTATGTGACTATATTTTTTTACCTCACAGTTATGTTTTTGTCTTGAACCTGAGAGAAAGTTTAATCAAGTTGCTTAAAGATAATGGTCAAAAAGATTTTTAAAATCCATATTGAGGTGCTGGAAAACTATTAATTCCCCCAAAAATTCTTTTTGAAAGAAATAACTTTCAAGGAATGATTTCCACACACCATAGCCCACACAGCTCGTGCAAATGACAACATCATCAACACTCACCTCTTTTCCCTGTGAAATTCAAAAGTTTTTTCTTGAGTTTATGTTATGAAACACATGGTTAACGCTTTATCATGTACTGTTGAGTTATGGATGCACTTGGGAGACATCTTGGGAGGATTGCTAAGCTCACAAGAACTCAAGATATAGTTTACTGATGTCATCAGCATGCTCAAGGGGAATATGATGCACGCTCGTGCTATTGAATTTGAATAGGCAAATATACTAGTTATGTTCTAAAGGGTTGTAGTTAGAATTTGAAGAGGTGGAAGAATATATTCAATAGGTGGAATTAGTATGCGAAGCAGCAATGGGCAAAACATACTAGGGGGGTTCAAGATATGCCCCCAGGAAAATTTTCGACATCGTGAAAGCTCAGAGATCCAATTTGGTGAGAGAAATAATTTTTTATTATTATTAAATATTACTTTAAGCCCAAGGGCATTCTATACTGCTTTGATGCAAAGTATAACAAAACTTGTGTTTTTTAAAGCAGTGAAAGCTTAGTAAATCATTTGTCTGTTGAATTCTGATAATCAGCTCTTGCTCACTGGATATAGAGTGCTTGCTTTTGCTTTCAGTCTTAGAGTGAGAACAAGTGAGTTGCTAACATTAGCAAGTTGAATATTTAATAACTGATTTTACATTTGGAAGGGGGAATAGGTGGGCTGGGGCTTGGGTGGGATGCAATCCAAGTGTCTATGAAACTCTTTTGTTTTCTTGATATATCCCTAAATGGTCTATCACATATATCAACACTTACTACTATTTTTCCTCAGAAATTCAAGATGTAAGGTTTTCAGTGATGGTTCATTAATAATATTTTTTGCTCTAAACAGGTCTTGAGACACTAGGGATAAAAAAATATGACAATGATCCTCCAGGTGGAGACATGGATAGGATAAGTTCTGAGTCATTTTTAAAAGAAGCGTAAGTGGAGTGTTTTATTCTATGACTATGGACTATTGACAGTCAGATTGGTTTGATTTTTTTTTGTGACCATTTGCTTTTAATATTATTAGTTTTACAGCGAGACATTTGAGGGAATTAATAACCATAAGGTTCTGTTTTGGTTTAAATTTTCAAAGTAAAAAATGAAATAACAAAACGTCTCTCACAGGCTGCTAACCATCACATAGAGAAATTGTCAACATTAATGTTGACCCTGTCCTCATGCTACAGATACTAATACCTGAATAATTCCAGTTATGTTTTAATTGAATGACCAACAGTTTCCCCAAATACTTTTGTCAATAACAATATCAAAATTACAGCTGCAATCACCGATCAAGTAGGAAATGGTAGTGATGAGGCAATTCACTGAATTACAGTAACTGTGTTTCAATAAAATGATGTTGTGACATTATTGTTTGTGTTTTACTCTTGTTTTTCTTTTGTTTCCTTTTCAGACGTCAGGGTCTTGCTCAAGCATCAGCAACATTTGCTTTGTAAATATTTATGTAACCACAGTGTGTCATTAGAGGGGATAGTCTGTTACATAGAAGATGATTATTTTATTTTACATGTGCATGTTAGTACAATACTGTATATAGTTATACTGCTGTTTAAATAAATCACTTTTACTTGGCTTAGCCTGCTGTTATTGGTATTATCATGGTTTTAATTATTAAATTCATACGTAATAAGAAAAGACATATTAGAAAAGCAGTTGCATCTACATTGTACAGCCTCCTTTGCAGCCATTTTCAGGGTTGGCGTGGAGTGCTCCGCCCGATTTTTGAATGAGGACTGGGTTTCAAAATGACATGTACATGGGGTGGTGACCTTAAAGACAGTTGCAAATTATAAAGATGACTATTGTTTCTTTATTTGGATTTTTCATACAGCTGGAAATTTTCCTTAACCACACATGCTCTCAACAGTAACTGGTGATCATATGGTATACAGCAACAAAACTGTCCCTCCCTCCCCCGCCCTAAAAAAAAACAAGTTTCTGAACTGGAAACACTGCCAAATCTTTGACATCTTAGGCCAGGTTCAGACGCCAAACTTTTCATGAGCCAAACCTGATTCGAATTAAAGCTGACCCAAACTATTAAAACCAGCTGAATTGATCAGACGTGGATCTTAATTCCAGCTGAACTAAATACAAAAGGAGAAAAATGCTCATTTTTTGGTCAAACTTCTTGCAAAATAGGTTATTGTAATTTGTGCATTAGGTTCACTACATGAAAAGTATGGCATCTGAATCAAAGCCGGGCTAGGCATGAAGATCAGCTGAGTCGTTCCAAATTGAAACAGGCATTCCTAATTGATTCAGACTCCGAACTTTTCTTGTACTTAATTCAATGTATTAGGTTCGGCTCATGAAAAGATCAGCGTCTGAACAGGACCTTACGGTAACAATGACGAGTTACCCATGAATGAAAATTAAGACCGCCTGGTGAGATTTACTTTGTGTGATTCAAAAAATTGTGCTGACATAAATTAAAGTTTTTCATCATGGGCTATACTTAATGACTGGCCCCTTGAAAAACTAGTTTATTGTCTTTTCTGAGAATGTCAATGATTCGAGATAGGCCATTTGCACTAAGAGGTCACGTGACATCGTTTTTATGAAAATGAAAGTTGTATGATTTTGCCTTCAAAAAATGATTAGTGGGTCATATCCTAAACAAAATAATAGTGATTTGGTTTTTCAAACCTGCACCGTTGTCTTAAAATGAGTAAGTTTGTAGCTGGTCACGTGACCAAAATGTGATTTTGAAAATTACGAATTACTTCTTTCTGAACACAAATTTTGCACTTAAACTTCAAGGAAAATGTTGAAAAAAATGATGTGGTAACGTTTGCAGCACATCTGAGCATAACTATCAAAAGTTTAAGAAGATGTAAGCAAAAACTAGTTTTAGCCGCCATGTTGGAGGGCAAGAGTATGCCCTCCAACATGGCGGCCAATACAAATCATACTACTTTGTTGAAAAATCAAAGTGCCATAAAATATCTCCCTTAAATTCTTTTCCTCTTAAATTTCGGGTGTAAGATAATTTTTATGTGCTCTGTCAATTTTTGGCATCAGCAGGATTCCAACTAATTGTTTAAGGGAAGTATTGGTCACGTGACCTCTTAGTGCAAGTGGCCTATTCCCAAGGCAAAGCTGAGATCAACATAGAGATTTAGGGAAACAAAGTAAGTTTTTAGTTAAATTGTTATTATATTAAAATTTACTGCGTTTTTTTTTATATAATTATATATTATTACATTTTCCTGACAACACCAGCAAAAAAACTTTTATCAGTTTTTTTATTGTGATCTATGGAAAGCATCTTTTATAGTACACTACCAAAGTGACTGTATCCCCAAAAGTAACAGCAAGCAGGAAACACTGCAAACAAATTATTCATGTATTTTAGTCTTTATTCAATGACTACTATTATTTTTTCTCTTTATTGCAACAAAAAACGTGCTTTTCCCATTTCGCTTATATAATACTGCTCAAATATTTTTAGCAATTCTAGCTTAGTTCTGAGAGACAATAGCCAGAATTTGGGCAAGATTTTTTCTCTTTTCAGCTGAAAGGCACTTAAGCGTATGACAATGTCAAAATTCATTAAAAAGACGAAATTCTAAGTATAACAACTGTAACACCTCACTTTATAAGACTTCGTACAGCCTCATTTTTTATTCGCGCCCCTCCCAACCACCAGCACTAATTCTGTGACCAGTTTATGAATACAGTCTGGTTTAGGATATTTAGCAAGACGGTTTTCCTAAGAGAAAATTAATTCATTTAGCAGTCAATGGTGTCACAATCTGTCTCGTTTCTACACACATAGCAGCCTTCTTCACCTAGGCATCGAAGGTAACACACTTCCACTGTATAGCAAACTGTGCTAGAACAATTGCGTCGATGAAGACGATTCTTATTTTTGCCTGAAATAAGGTAAAACAAAGAGTGAGTTTAAAACATTGTAAGATAAGATTCTTGTATGCTAGCTCAGTTGGTTATAATTTTGTTTTCAATATGCCCTTGACACGACACTCGTGGCGCGGCATGATTAACCTCCCATCATGCAGACATGCATTCATAGGACTTGTGGAAGGTTTGCGTTCATTGAAGACTTCAGCCTGAAGTAACCGAAGATTCAAACGCGAAGCCAAAGTCATATATATACACTGTAAGTAATACCTGTTCCACAGGACTCTACTTTCTCTTCAAAGGTTACCTTTTCAGTCTTTACTCAATCAGTTAATAAAACCCAAACTTTACTGTTTCTTCATAGCCTGCGAAGACATCCGTTTCTCCTCGCTCTTCGCCGCTGGGGAAGTTTCGCGCGGAGAAACGGATGTTTATTTTTCCCGCGTTTTTCGGACAAGCGAAGATAGCCCTCCTCGCAGGCGTTTTAGGGGAGCTCGTATTTCGTTTCTCCCCACAGCTGTATTTTATGTTAAGGTTCGTTTAATTTATAAATTGTGCTGTTATTTTATGAATTTTTGTAAGTCTAAAAGCAGCAACTAACTTGTATCAATGTATCAAAATACAGCTGCGGGGAGGTACGAAATACGAGCTCCCTAAAAACGCCTGTATGGGAGGCTAAGCGAAGACAAACGCAAGGGGCCCGTCTTGCGCTTGCCTTCGCTCGCCTAAAAAACGCCCGTTCTGCAGGCCACTCTTCAGTATATTAAATGATTAATTGATTGATTGGTTGGTTGGTTTACTGAATGATCAACACTTGCCTTTTTGTGGCGATAGGGGCGTGGTAGCAGAATTTGAATCTTGGTTTACGGGTTCTGCTCGATCGTTCCGGAAATTCTGACACATATTTTCCAAGGCGGCACGATGATGACTAGGAAGGTCATCTGGCACTTCTTTTATCTCCATAGCGGATTTTATCCTCAGCAAAATGGAAAGACTTGTTTTGTTGCGGGCTGCCTGGGAATTGTAAGAATATGCTTTTTATTTATGCTAGTCTCCAAATAACGAATCTTTACGGTTGTAGTGCTTTTGCCATTGAATCATAAGGTGGCGTGAGAAAAACAACCGACATTAATCAAACGACGCCGTCACCGGTTTCCCTGCGACCTCTGACAAACGAGCGCAGAAATTTCACACTGATGACGCGTCACTTCCCAGATCTGGGTAGTGCCTCTGATTGGTTGAAGCAAATTTCCCACGCAGTGCCAGACACACTACCCATACTCAGACGCACTTCTGCGCTCGTTTCTCAGACGTTATTTCGCGGGGAAACCAGTGGTGGCGTAGGCCTAGATACAAATATCACGAAAAATCGCCTGAATATGTTTCCGGAAATTCCCGATTTTTTTCTTAATATCTCGAAAAAGTTCTAAATATCTCAAAAATATCTGGCTTCATGTCATAAATATTACAGTAAAAACACAACAATATAGCCTGTCATCTAAAATGGCAACACAAATTTCAGGAAATTTATGCACTGAAATAAGTTCTCCAGCATATTCACACACAAAAGTGAATTTTCTTATGGTCTGCTGAGTTTTTAAGCCCCATCCTTTATGTTTTGTCTTGAAAACTTGGAGTTTTAACTGCAATCCTTTCTGAACAACTCTGTTCGGACAAGTCTCTGGGCAAGCACAGCAACTGTTGCATTCAAACACTGGTTGACAGTAATCTGGAGGAAAAAAAACAGCATATATATACTAGTTATTAACCTCATCTGTTCGGTCATTACAGTGAAATCTCAGACCAAGACCTTGATGTATTGACCAAGTGATAGCGGGGTCAATACATCATGGCCAAGGTCCGAGATTTCCCTGTAATGAACGAATAGACAAGGCTAATAAGTTATTCAATATATGGCCTTTTCTTTATAGACCTAAGCCTGCAATCAATAATTATTATTAAAACCAACAACTGGTCAGCGGATAACTTTAAAAAAAAAACATGTCACCTCAAAGAGTAGTACACCAGAGCCTGCGATACAGTCAGGTGACACTGGTTAGCAGATACCCTTTTTGAAAGCTGTCAATTGACCATAACATTGAAGTTCATGTGGATGTCCAATATCAAGTTAAACACAGATACCTTTGACACGTGCTTACTCATTACAAGAAAATAATACCCGAGTCATTACAAGAAACAGCCAACCAGAGCACGCGTACTAATTGTAGCTATATGATAAAACATATTGATACAGTCGACTCTTTTCTATGAAAACCACTTAAAGACAGCATACAGTTCCCCAAAGTGCCGAGACACCATGACAAACAATTGCTCAAAAAGGACACCTAGACATTGGTCCCTGCAGTTCTTATTAAACTCACTTTCTTTAACTCTCCTTATTGAGACAGAGAACTGTCTATGATTAGCAAGTGAGCCACCTCTCCGGGATGCTCTGACGAGCATCCTGGACAGCTTGCTCATAGGCTAGTCTATGATGAACATTTAGGGTATGTTCCTTTAAGATGATGCGGATCAGAAACGTTGGTCACTTGGATCATCATGAGGGGACACAAAGGACTTGCACTGTAAGTATCCCGGAGAGCTCCATACAATTCCTTATAATTTTGTTATAAGGAATTGTATGGAGCTTTCAAGGAGACTTTTCTTAATTAGTTTAGGCGCGGCGGATTTTGTCACGTATGATCGGCGTGAGGTGTTTCTCCCGACACCCTTCTGTCAGGAAAATGTCATCATATGAAAGCAAAACAGACACGATCGCGTCGGCGGGCCGAAGCCGGCAAAAATAAAAGGCTTTTCTTCTTCCATTTCAGAGGTCAGTTTTGTTTCGATCTGGTCAAAAATCAGGTTTTTAGGTTGTCGGTAATAAAATATTGTCTTATTCTGTTCTCAAGGACCTTTAGAAAACGAGACAAACGAGACAATTGACTAGAGAAAGAAGCGTGAAATTGGAAGAAAATTTTTTTTAATTCCCGCAGCGATTTTGCGAAATCGCGAAGCGCAATATATTCAGTTTCTTCTAAAGCCGTCATGATTAAGCAGTGTGATGTCATCACAACTAAAAATGAATTTAGTTTGTATCGCAAAAGCTGCGAAAATAGAGCTGAAAAAAAAATGGATCGGAAAAATTAATAAAATCACCAAGAAACCGTCTCGCGGGAGCTTTGTCAAACAAACCGTTGGTACGGTTTATTTAACCTAACCTGGAAAAGGAGACGTCTGCACGCAGAATGCATTTCATCCTACATGTAGTTGTGATTTCCAGAACGGACCCCGGGAGCCTCATTGCCGTAATATCTTCTACATTACAGAAACCACAGCAGAATCGCCCTGCTCGCGTGCTAACTTTCCGCTCCAATACGTATTATGACTATACAGTACCAGTGAATTGTTTCAAAATTTAAAGCGGCCAAAACTTATTTCCATCAGCGCGTAGTTAGTTAGTTAAGCAATAATAATGCACAGCACTGTAGATAACACGGTTCTAGAATATCTGACGGCTTCGCGTTTTGTTCGTCGCTGCATGCGATTTAATCGCTTATAACCTAACAGAAAATGTAAATGTACCTGAAGGAAATACCGTGTATTGCCTTACCTTAACACTGTGATGTGTGTAAATTGTCTTTTGCTATGGTTTTAGACAATACGACTTCTCCTGACTATCAATTGTGCGTCAAAACAAACGCGATAATGAAATAGTCGAAGTGCCATGGTGTAGCACTTTATGACAAAGTTTTAACTGGAAAACTTGTTGCCATCTGATGTACACCTGTATAGTCTATGTTTGTAAGCTCTGCCTAAAGAATCACTGGGTTACACTGCACCCATGGGTGTGCCACCTAAAGTGCAGCCTACGTTTGTTAGCTCTACCTAAAGAATCACTGGGTTACACTGCACCCATGGGTGTGCCACCTAAAGTGCAGCCTACGTTTGTTAGCTCTACCTAAAGAATCACTGGGTTACACTGCACCCATGGGTGTGCCACCTAAAGTGCAGCCTACGTTAACTTTGTTAGCTCTACCTTAAGAATCACTGGCTTACACTGTACTCACGGACGTTTGCCTCGTGCTCTCTTCAAAGACAAAAAAGCTATAGTCTGTTTGGCCAAAAATCAAGCTTTGTTTCACCTAAAAATTTGACACCATATTAGGGCCCCGAAAGACGTTAAAAGTTCCTCCATAATAGAAGATTGTTTTGCTAGAGTTTACAAACGTTTGGCTCATGAGTTTCAATATAAAGGTGCAAAAACTTATCAGCATAATTATAACACACAAACATTGTCATCAAACTCCTGGCATGTAGCCTGAATAAGCCAAGCAAATATGAATAAAGCATATAACAAGAAATATTCGTCAAATGGTCTCGTTAAGTAAATTATACTTCACTTTGCGAAATAAATTTATCGCTTGTATCCGTGTTACGCATGAGGAAAAAGCGAGGAGTCATCGCATGACATTAGGTAACAGAGGTAATACTCACAAGTTTCACGAATTCCCATTCCACGATTTTTCGCCGAGTAACAAATTTAAAACTTCAATTCTTACCTTACAGTGGTCGGTTCATTTACCTTACATTTGCCAACACTAACAAACATGAACAAAACGATGAAATCCGGCACTCTTCTTTCAGAAGTAGCAAGTCGCATGAAGTAAAATCCACCGATATGCGCTGCATTCTCACTACAAATATAAACATTTGCCGTGAAGAAAATACGACGAGGAGGAAAAAATGCCAGATCTTCGCCTCGGCAATGTATTCCAGCTACCAAGCTGGCGTATCTCCAGAAGGTGGACTCGAGGTGGGACAAACCTTGTGATTTTTTAGGAGCCCTTTGCGCGCAAACTAATTTATTCTGGCGAAATGAAGATTAAGAAAATGCATCTGAAATCTAATACACGACAAGAAAATTTTCGCACTTTCGAGGAGTGTGTCATATTAAATGGGATTAAGTCGGATTAGCTGCCCTCATTGGTTCCTCTGATGCACTATGATTTGAGCGATCCCAGATCACTGATCTTGATCTAGATCATCCCAATGGAATGCAGCCTAAGACAGTGCCAGGCACATACTCGTCCAGCGAGAAAGAAAGAGAGATTTAAAGTTGATAAAGAAAAAAAAGCAATCAACCACGTACACGTCATGGTCGGTCTGCTGGCTGTTATCTTCCTATTCCAGCCTGTAAGACCAGCACTTTGCAAGCTTCATATTTTGACCGTATTGTGAAACTGTGGAACAACTCATGCAATGAAGCCTTCCCTAGTGGTTTTACCTCTCTTAGCTGTTTTAAATCATTTTTGAAGAATTTGTACAAGTCTCCTTTAATGAATGTCTTTGATATGGACATGGTCTGCTCATGGTCAATCTCTCGTGAATGTTCTTGTCACTAACTGAATATGATATGTATAGGTATATATTTTCTTTTTCTTTTTTTAATTTTAGATTTCTCCACAGTTAGACGACAATTTTGCACAATTAGATTTTTCTACAATTAGACTTTCCTCTTACTACAACTAGATTTCACTTTTGTGTATATTTTAAATCCTTATATTTTCCTAGCGTAGGCACCCCGCATGGGTCTGAGTGTCCCGTTTGTGCCCATCCCTTTTGGGATTTAATTCTTTATGTTTCTATATTTTAGTTTTTTATTTTATTTTATTTTATTTATATTTTACTTTTCGATTTGACCTTGCCCAATAAAAATAAATAGACAAAAAACACCCACAAGAGGTTTGGTTGTGGACTACTTTAATTTTCAACTGCAATCTAGTTAGCCTTGTGAAAACTCACCAGTTAACTGCTGATTATAAATCTGAAGGCATCCACTACTGTCATAACATGGTCCATAGGCTTGCATGCAAGAGCAAACGTCTGCCATACATGTGATTTGATGACATTCACAGCCAGGGTAGAATGGAGAGTTGAATGAATCATTTACATTAGGCCCACCAATGCAAACTAATGTGTACTGTAAAGTAAAAGCCACATGGATTTAGTAAAACTGTGCATATCTCTGCAAAAATCCTGGCTACACCTCGAAAGGTGTTTCTACAGTTGGAAACTCGCCATTAATCCGATGGTCCCATAATTTTCTCCTGAAGAATTTTCCCATGCATGAACCCGGCGGGGAATGGAAAATCCCAGGGAGATGTGTTTTGGACTTAGCCTGCGTGGCAGGCATTTGAAAGGGAAGGGAAAGGGGGTTTTTGGCGCGAGGGAAACGCGAGGGGCGCGCGAGGAGGGAGGGAGGGAGGGAAACGCCTGGCAGGAAACCATTGTTTTCGCCATCCCGCCCACTAATTATATATGCAAAAATAACGCAACTGTGAATGACTAGCTGTCAAATAAGTCTGGCTGCGATGCGCTTATTTAAGTCGTATTTCGCGTACTGTTTTTCTTTTTTTTTTCCTAAAACAAGAAATCTGAAGTGAAGGTACTATTAAAAAAAACTATAAATGCGGTCGTCTGTTGAAGGAAGAAAGTCGCAACCATGCGTGGCTTGTTACATAAAATCCAGCATAAATCTATTACGTTTTTGCTGAAGGTATCGTGTTGGACTTCCCAACTTGCATGCAATGTTTGTCGGAGAAATTAATTACAAACACTTTACTGACTCTCGAACTGGATCCAGCGGGGCATACAAAAGAACGCTGGTAGCAGGGAAAGAAAGCTAAACTTCAAAGACCTACAATAAGGCTAATTCTGCAAACAATATTATTATTAAAGTAAGTTCCTGGCGGCTTTTATATAACGTCTATAACCAGCAAGAAGAAATCCTCAAACCAAAAATCGCTAAGGATTATATCTAGACCGCTTTGTCTTCAAGAATCTGGTCGTTGATAAAGTGTAGCCTGCGTGGTAGGCGTTTGAGGTCAAACAGCAGATAACAAGCACACATGCAGCATGATTTTTCCTTTCTCTCTTCTAGTGGGTCAAACAAGCCATTGGGAGACAAGACTTCTCAAAACCAGTCAGCAAAACTCATCTAGCTGACATGTCTTTTCCTTCATACGAGTCTTTTAATTGCTTTCTTCCATTCTCCTTTCAAGCTGAAATAGATACCTTCAGTTTTTAATCGTTCTAAAACGATGAATTCCATACAGAAATCTCATCGCGCCTCACTTAACAACATATTTTTAAATGATTACTGAAAGATCGATTAAGTTACTCAGTAGCGTGATGTTGATTTCAGCCAATCGGATTAAGGTATTAAGGCTGTGATTGACATGTTTTGAAGACGGACCAATCAGGATTTTAACATTCGCCTGGTGGATGTTAAAAACGAGAAAAACAATGGTCTCCTGGCAGGCGTTTCCCTCCTCCCTTCTCGCGCGCCCCTCGCGTTTCTCTCGCACCTAAAACTCCCTTTCCCTTCCCTTTCAAACGCCTGCCACGCAGGCTATTTTGGACTGGACACATGGGATATTACCCGGCAAATACAGGCGGCCGCACTCGCAAGTAAAGGATGAGTATTGACCTTATTCTAAATCCATCCTCTGAAAGTAAGTAAAAATTAATATTTCAGTTGAAATTAAGGCCACAATATTTTTGGGGTTTAAAAATGAACATTTCTAACACGGCGTTGTTGTTTACTCAATATCCTTTATCACATTACCCCAAATGCTGAAGGCTTTTCATCGTCGAGTTCATTCACCACTGGAACTTTCACCCTTTCCTTGCCCTGCGATACATCGTTATTGATCATCGGATGCAAGCTCTCTATACCCTCACTTTTCAGTTTGTTGTGAACTTTATTGTGGACGTAGCAATAGGTACTTCATATAAGGTACCATATATGGTATATTTGAAACGAAATGCCGCTGACAATGAGCCGTTGTTACCGTTGTTATAGAAACCGCGCAATACCGTTCAAAATGGCGAACAGGGAGAGCGATGCTCAAGAATATCTAAAGAAACACAAGATAATGGAATTATTTGAGAACTTAACAGCGCAATTGATCTACGAAAGACCAGGTAAGAAATTCAAAAAGCGATTTCTCGTTGTGGTGAGAGCCTTGTATTGTTGTTCATCATAGCATCAGTTTTGATTGACAGCTAGTTGATTTTGTTCTTGCACTTCCCTTCATAGAGGATCCAAAAGCGTACATGAAACAATTTTTGGAAAAACTAAAAGATGCGAGAACAGTGCAAAGAAACTACCCGTGCATATTCGACGACAGCAATGTTAGGTCATTGTTTGGAATGCTTGATGTCACAGGAAAAGGATTCATAACCTATGAACAGTACAAACAAGGTGATGTGACTAATGTGTGCAGGGCCCTTTACAGCGCTACCTCACAAACATTTAACCATCGGTTGTGTTTTTTGCTTCCATCAATCATAATGGAATATTCAGGAAACAAAGGTTTTCATCAATGGACTCGAAAGGTCAAATCTGTGGACTGTATACTTACTTGTCTGGGGGGTGAATTGTCTGACATTTCTTTGATAATGTTATAAAACAATTAGTTCATGCGTCAGCATGCGTATGTCGAGATATTGAGCATGCTGGAAGTTTGGAAAGCACGAAAGAGGCGACTCTTGATTGCTTTCCAAACTTCCCAAGTGCTCTATATCTCGACATACGGACAGCTGAAGCATGAACTGATATTATTGTTTTAAAACATTGTCAAAGGAATGTCAGACAATTCATGCCCCAGACAATTTGCCCCCAACAACTAGCCCCGAGTATACAGTATCACCTGAGTTAAATATCTTCGAATCGCTCGTTTAGTAAATGAACTGTCTTCAACCCCTTTCTAAATGTCTAGTTGTCTGAGTGGCTCCCGCCCCTTGAAATTCTAAATAAGTTCACAATTCGAATCCACTTAATGCATGCAGGGATGTGTAGTCCAAGAGACACCAGTCCCATGAAAAACAAATTGTTATGTTAAACGTAATCTACAAAGTGGAACTTAAGTCCATAATGTGGAGGCTAGTTGTCGGGGGCTTACTGGGGGGCAAATTGTCCGGATACCTATCAATGCAGCAGTTACCTTATAGCGTGTACTCAAAGCACACACATCAATGTCTATGTGACTATATTTTGTTACCTCATAGTTATATTTTTGTCTTGAACCTGAGAGAAAGTTTAATCAAGTTGCTTAAAGATTTTAGATGCAAAAAGATTTTTTTGCCAAAAGATTTTAAAATCCATATTGAGGTGCCGGAAAACTATTAATTCACCAAAAAATTCTTTTTGAAAGAAATAACTTTGCAAGGAATGATTTCCACCCACCATAGCCCACACAGCTTGCCAAATAACAACATCATCAACACTCACCTCTTTTCCCTAGCAAATTCAAAAGTTTTTTCTTGAGTTTACGTTATAAAACACATGGTTAATGCTTTATCATGTACTGTTGAGTTATGGATACACTTGGGAGACGTCTTGGGAGGATTGCTACGCTCACAAGAACTCGAGATAAATTATAGTTTACTGACGTCATCAGCATACTCAATGGGAATATGAAGCACGCTCATGCTATTGAATGTTATAAAGGGTTGTAGTTAGAATTTGAAAAGATGGAAGAATATATTCAATAGGTAGAATTAGTATGCAAAGCCCCAATGGGCACAACATTCTAGGGGGGTTTGGGGTATGCCCCCCAGGAAAATTTTCAACATTGTGAAAGCTCAGAGATGCAATTTGGTATTTGCATTAAAGAGAGAAATTATTACTTTAACCCCAAGGGCATTATATACTGCTTTGATGCAAAGTATAAAAAAATTGTGTTTTTTAAAGCAGTGAAAGCTTAGTAAATCATTTGAATTCTGATAATCAGCTCTTGCTCACTGGATATAGAGTGCTTGATTTTGCTTTCAGTCTTTCAGAGAACAAGTGAGTTACTAACATAATTTAGCAAGTTGAATATTTAATAAGTGATTTAACATTTGGAAGGGGGAATGGGTGGGCTGGGGCTTGGGTGGGATGCAATCCGAGTGTCTATGAAACTCTTTTGTTTTCTTGACAATAATTATATCAACACTTACTACTATGTTGCCTCAGAGATTCCCATTGTAAGGCTTTCAGTGATGGTTCATTAATAATATTTTTTGCTCTAAACAGGTCTTGAGACACTAGGGATTAAAAAATATGACAACGATCCTCCAGGTGGAGACATGGATAGGATAAGTTCTGAAGCATTTTTAAAAGAAGCGTAAGTGGAGTGTTTTATTCTTTGGAATAATGACAGTCAGACTGGTTTGATTTTTTTTTGTGTGTGACCATTTGCTTTTTATATTACCTATTAGTTTTACAGCAAGACATTTAAGGGAATTAATAACCATAAGGTTCTGTTTTGGTTTAAAATTTTCAAACTAAAAATAAAATAACAAAATGTCTCTTACAGGCTGCTAACCATCACAATAGAGAAATTGTCAACATTAATGTTGACCCTGTCCTCATGCTACAGATACTAATACCTGAATAATTCCAGTTATATTATAATAAATTGAATGACCAACAGTTCCCCCAAATACTTCTGTCAATAACAATATCAAAATTACAGCTGCAATCACTGATCAAGTAGGAAATGGTAGTGATGAGGCAATTCAATGAATTACTATATTTCAATAAAATGATGTTCTCACATTATTGTTTGTATTTTACTCTTGTTGTTCTTTTGTTTTCTTTTCAGGCGTCAGGGTCTTGCTCAAGCATCAGCAACATTTGCTTTGTAAATATTTATATAACCACATTGTGTCATATTTAGAGGTGATAGTCTGTTACATAGAAGAGGATATGTTATTTTACTTGTGCATGTTAGTACAATATTGTGTATAGCTATACTGCTGTTTAAATAAATCACTTTTACTTGGCTTAGCCCGCTGTGATTATGGTTTTAATTATTAAATACATACATAATAAGAAAAGTCATTTTTTAGAAAAGTAGTTGCATCGATCTACATTGTACAGTCTCCTTTGCAGCCATTTTCAGGGTTGTCGTGCAGTGCTCCTCCCGATTTTTGAATGAGGACTGGGGTGAGTTTCAAAATGACATGTACATAGGGTGGTGACCTTAAAGACAGTTGCAAATTATAAAGATGACTATTGTTTCTTTATTTGGATTTTTCATACAGCTGGAAATTTTCCACAACAGCACATGCTCTCAACAGTAACTGGTGATCATATGCTATCCAACAATAAAACTGTTCCCCCC